CCGATCTCCCCAAAACCCCAAAACCCCATCACTTGAGATGGGATTATTCTAGGCAGACTTATATAAATCTATAAATTAATTGACATTCACACAATTTGTAAAAATTTTTCGCCTATTCTGTTAAGTATTCTTTCAGGTTCAAGTCTTGCCTCAATTATTCCATGCTCTTCAAAGAATGCCTCTATACCTTGCTTTGACCTGAATTTAGTATCCATATCTGCGATTTCTATAACATCCTTCTCATTTATGAAGTAAGCCTCAGCCGGTGGTATGACTCTGCCTGTCCACTACTTGTTAATGCAAAAAGTCAAATGATTTCTGCAAGGGACTCTCATAAAAACGATTTCATCCCTAAATTAACTATATCAATAATTGAAGGCTTACTTATACTTTGCACTTTCAGTAATGAAATCTCTATGGAAATTCTCAATCAAATAATGGCCTGGAGTATATAGAAATAGAAATACAGCTGTCTTGTCCTTGTTATAGAGATAATCATAAATCTATTCCTCAGTTTCCATGTCTACAACACAACTGTTAGCTAACTTTTAATTAGACTCTAACCCATCCCAAATTCCAAACTCATAGCCTAATTTCATTAGTATCAAAGAGCCAAGCACTCTAATGACATATGTCTTCAAAGGAACTTATGATGAAAAGTCAGTATGTTTAGCATACGGTGGTTAAATAAAGAAAGGCCTCCATCTCTCCCCTCTCAATAGATAGTTTTTCCTGTCATGTAAGAAACTAAACTGTAACTATTCATCATTTATCTTGGGTTTATTGTAAACGCGATCATCTAAGGCTTCTATAGATCTGAAATACAGCATCCTCTTCTCTGCATCGTTGAGCCCCTTCTCTCTGCGCTCTTTTTCCTTATTCATTAGCTCCTCATAACGCTTTCTCTCATCAATCAGTTTAGTCTATTTAATAAATCTGACGAGTTCATTATCAGTTTTTCTAATCATGACATTATCTCGTTTTAAGGCCTTTCTCAAAAAGTTTTTTATCATTTTTAAACTTTTATAATGTTTATTATAATGCTTGGAGTTATAAGCATGATTTTAGCTAATGGGGTTTTGGGGTTTTGGGGTTTTGGGG